TTCTCGACTTTGATTTGGCATAGGAGAAGAAATACTTTGGGTTTCTTTCGATTTCATTTATGGCTTTTAGTTCTTCCTGCGATTCCTGACTCCTATAAGATTCCTTTAGCTTAAGTTCAATGCTTGCTATTTCTCTGACCAGTGTCTCCCTACGCATTTCAGATATATTGACCTCTTTTAGCCGTTCTGTTATTCTTTTCCGTCGCCTGTAAAGGGAGTGCCTGTCTCTTTCTATTTTACATCTACTCCTCCTTTTTCTTAGAGGAATAAGCCTTGTGCATACATCGAGTGCCACAAAGTTAATCTGTTCTAGGCATAAGTTGGGGTCTGTGTTGCTTAGTATATCTTCCCAGCTTATATCGGTTAGGACTTGGTTTACCTGGTCCCACTTTATGTTTTTGTTATTGAAGTTGAATTTGGTGAATGCTCCCTCGTGACTAATCTCGTTATGTCGGTCTGGGGCTCCGCACATACATGTCTGAACCTCAATTATGTTGTGATCTGAGTATATTGTTTTTGATATGGTGACATTTCTTATCAGATCATCATTGTTAGTGAAGATGAGGTCTAGTGTATTCTCCAGTCTAGTAGGCTCTATTATTTGCTGGTTTAAATTGAATTTTGTGCAGAGATTTAAAAGCTCGTGTGAGTGTGAGTTTTCATCAGAGCTGCCTCCTGGTGTTATTACTGCAACAATATTATTTGCTATATTCCTCCATTTTAGGTGCCTTAAGTTGAAATCTCCAGGAGCAAGATGTTGGGTGCAGGAGCTGGAAGATTTTCCAGACAATGGTCAATTTTTAACAGCTGTTCCTGGAATTGCTGGGATGTTGCATCCGGAGGCTTGTAGACTACCACAATGACTAGGTTTTGGTTCTCGATCTTTACTGCTAAAACTTCCACTACATCATTTGAGGCATTAAGCAGTTCTGTGCAAACAAGTGACTCTGCAATGTACAGGCCAACCCCCCCTTTTGCCTGTTCACTCTGTCACATCTGTATAGGTTGTAACCTGGGATCCATATTTCGTTGTCCAAGTGATCCTTTATGTGGGTCTCAGTGAAAGCCGCGAACATTGCCTTTGCCTCTGCAAGCAGTCCACGGATGAAAGGTATTTTGTTGTTTGTTGCTGGCTTTAGACCCTGTATATTTGCAATGAAGAATGTCATCGGACTGGTGGTATTGTTGGTACTGGGGGGATTTTTTTTCTGGCATTAGTATCTGTATCTGTTGGTTTGGAGTGGAGGCCATTGACTGTGGTTCCACTCCAGGAATGACTGGATTTGGTGTACGATTTCTGCCATTTCCTGCCAGTTTTTTTTTCCTTCCTGGCACTAAAAAACCTCTCCCTCTTGAGTGGCTGTGGCTACCCAGGTTTTCCCATGGCCTGGATGTTTTGTATCTTTTTGTCCCCTTTAGATGGTGTGCCTGGCAATTTAAGCTATAGCACAGTCTTTCCTGTACTAAAGAGGTACACATTTCAGGGTGAAAAAGCTTACAGGAATGGAATTTGCATTTTCCTGTTGTCATATGGGCACGGCATTTTCTAGGGTGGTCATAGTTGCACGTCCCGTCTGTTTTTCCAGATTTCCCATGTCTGTAGATACCAAGTGCATAGTATGTGCACAGGCTTGGTTTCTGTTTGCCTTGGGTTTCTGTGACTGTATTCCCTGTTGGTGCATGTTTACCTGTCTTATTCCTATCCTCCCTAGCACCAACAATGGAGCTCCCACCAGTTGTTTTTGGTAATATATCCTCACTATTGCTAATGGAGTCCTCTTGTTTGCTATTTCCTGTGGTATTTCTAGTTTGCAATATTGGTTTTATCTTATCTTTGACTACACTTGTTTCCCCACTACGGCTCCTGTTCCCTATGAGGTCATTTATATGTATTCCTTCCTGCGTATAATTCCCGACTACCTGGACAAAATCTCCAGCTTCACCATTACTGTCTCTCAGGACAGCACCTCTAGCTTCACCATTACTGTCTCCCAGGACAGCACCTCCAGCTTCACCATTACTGTCTCCCAGGACAGCACCTTCAGCTTCACCATTACTGTCTCCCAGGACAGCACCTCCAGCTTCACCATTACTGTCTCCCAGGACAGCACCCCTGGCAGTCTTCAAGCTGGCACTGGACAAGCACCTAAAGTCGGTTCCTGACCAGCCGGGCTGTGGCTCATATGTTGCTTTGCGTGCAGCCAGCAGTAACAGCCTGGTTGATCAGGCTCTGATCCACCAGGAGGCCTGGTCACAGACCAGGCCATGGGGGCGTTGACCCCCGGAACTCTCTCCAGGTAAACTCCAGGTAAACACTAGCTTCTAGGTTGACAAGAGACAAAGTACATACTGGTCATGAACTGGCGACTGCACAAAGGCCTACAGCTCAACTCACTCGCAACTTTCCCCAGACACTGGCCAGAATCCTAAGAAAAAGTGGAGGTCTTGTCTTACTGCATGGGCCTGACGGAGGAGGACATCTACGGTGTGTCGAGGTGCCTCCACCAGATTTCCCCAGGTCTCATATGTGAAGACACGTGGGGGCGCCACCTGATGATCACGGCACGTGTTGTTCAGATGGTGTCTAGTCATAGAAGAAAGCTCTGGCGTCTTCGAGACCCGCGCCTCGTTGTTCAAACTTGGGCTGCCAGTTCTCCCTAGCTAACTTATCCTAGTGTTTGCCTACATTTGGCCTATTACTACTTATGTTAAGGTCTTAGGTCTACATTGTTATTATCTACAGTTGCCTCAATAATCCTAATGTTAGTGTACTAACAGTATAAACTACCTACTTCTTCCCTGAAAGGTAAATCTATCAATTAAGAAGTACCTTCCAGCCACCTTCGCCAACCCGGGTGAGTGTGTTTGTGTTTTGGGTGGGTGTAAGGGCCCTTGAACGGTGTGTTTTTTCCCCGTTGGGACTTCTCGGACCGAATAAGTTCCGACAAGCAGTGTACTGATACCGTATTTTATATGATAATTACACCGTGGGTCCCCAACCATGGAGATAGACACAAGTCTGCATTAAAGTATAGGTAAGTAATTAAGTAAGTGAATAAGTAAGTTTATTTAAGTACAGGCACACAAAAAATACAATTACATAAGAACATAAGAAAGGGGGAACACTGCAGTAGGCCTGTTGGCCCATACTAAGCGTGTCCTTTACAAATCCAACCCACCAATAGAATAAACGCTACCCAAGCAATAATTTGACAATTCTATTTACTCAGGTGCAAGTCCCACTCAAATTCAACCCCTCTCACTCATATATTTATCTAACCTAAATTTGAAACTACCCATAGTGTAAATTACCTATGATAACCCATTAATACAAAACAAATGATGCAGTCACTTGACGAAATTCTTTTCGTCAAATTCGGCAGGTAACCTAAATTTTGGTGATATATATTTATAATGCATATATGTATAGTTCTATAGATGTAGTCTGTCCTCCGTACGTATAGGCTATTCTATTTTAGTAACACCCATCTGGCATCCCTCTCTCTCACGCACATGTACTACCATATTATAACCTCTACGTCATTATTGAAACATCTGTGTTATTTGTACTTTTAAAGGAGCTTAAAATATATTTGACAAGAAACAGGTCATTATTTTTTTCCCAAAATATTTAAATAAATTGTTTACAGCAGCGAGCATTCTAAAAGTGACGAACCTGAGAAAATAACTAATATGTAGAACTTAAAATAAGTTACTCAGTATTTCTTTTAAATAATTATGAATATAGTAATTAAGCTTATAATTATACGTCAATAATTCAGCAATTATAAAACTAAAACGCAAATTTTAATTTAATTCGGTAGTTGAGGGTCAGTTCATAGCAGTAAATAAGTTTTTGATTTAGGACTGATACATAATTTAAAATTTATTACAATAGTTTTATATAGTAAGTTGTGTAGAGTTTAGCATAGGATAAAACTATGAAATGAAAAACAGTAGCATAGTAGCTTCATAAACCAGACTAGTCGGGTGTGGACGTCTCTAACCTGGGTATTTATCACACATTCCCCGTAATATATTATATTTTTGGAACGATTGTAGCTGTCCTTATGTTCCCACTGAACATATTGTGTGGAGCAGCATATATCAGTTGCTGCAACTGGTTGTAGAGTCTAGTGTTGTGCAGGTGCTGCTCTGCTCCGATATAAGTCTAACATTACTGATTTTGGAACAATTTTTTAAAATGCTTTATAATTAAGGACATTTGTCACATTTTTTCCCGGCCCCTAAATTGGGAGACAGAACTCCAGCAGGTCAGGTTGCCCATACCTTAAAAATTAATAACATCACCATACATTGCACCTTTTATTACTATGATTTTCAAGGTTTAATTACTTAACTGTGTTTTTTTTTTAGGTTATAATCATAATTGATATCTGCTGTATCTTACAGCTAGGTATTATATAATAAGATATTTCAAGGACCACAGTGAAAATATATCAGATTGACTTGATTGGGTTATCTTGGTGGATAATTTACATGTTACTCTGATAATTGTTGTCACCTAAACTTGTGGAACTACTAATGTGTGCTAGTACCTAAATAAACTTATTTATATTTGTTATCTTTATATTTGGAGGAACTTCCCCTGGCTGCTAGGTAAGTAAGATAAAGTTTATTTCTTTGTACAAGTTACAATGTGTAATTACAATTTTGATTTGCTAAGTACAAAGAAAGTCACTATCATGCCGGGACATTTCAGACAGACTGATCCTAGTACATAATAACTACTTAAATCTAGACAAGATAAGAGTGGTTAACTTTTATTAATATCTTTATCGAGGTAGTCAAGGTGGAGGTTTACAAGAATAATAATCTTGAAGTTGCACATAATAAAAACAATATTAACAATGCTGGTATATCACTTCTCAAGGGACATTACTCGAAGCTAGTGAGGTGCTCTTGATCCAAGGAATAATAATAGTAATAATAATCTATTTCTACAAGTATATGATATAACTTAATTTTATCCCCAGGATGCGACCCTCACCAGTTGATTAAAACCCAGGTACCTACTTACTGCTAGTTAAACAGGGACAGCAGGTGTCTTAAGGAAATATACTCCAGTGTTTCCAGTGTGTGAGCTGAGTGTGCTACCGACTGAGTTATGGGGACACCTGACCTCACCCTCCTAGAATCATGGCTCAGTTGGTGGCATCCTCAGCTCAGTTACTGAGTGTCTGTGGTTTAGTCCCTGGCACAGGTGGAAATGTTGAACGTGTCTCCTTAAACCTGTTGCCCCTGTTCATCTAGCAATAAATAAACCGACTTGGGTTGCATCCTGGGAAGATTAAAGGACCCCCAAAGGAAATATGACAGTCTGATGATGCGCAGACTTTACTGGATTATCCTGGGTGGATAACCCTTCCAGTTAGAAATCCGAACAAAATCCCATTTTAACCTGATTGCCTCCCACAACCCCTAAGTGCTGTATGACTTCTACGACTCTACCAGTTTCCATTGAAAATACACGTGATAATAATTATCTTTTAACAGGAACATTTATAAGTGTTGGTGTCTTGGAAGAATTTTTCCACAACTTAAGATATAAGGTAGATTTTGTTCTGATTTTTAACCAGGAGGGTTATCCATCCAGGATAACTCAATAAAGTCAGTGTGTCAGCCTGGACTGTCTGTCTTTTCACTGGGGTCCTTTAATCTTGTCCCCCTGGAATGTGACCCACACCAATTGACTGATGCCCAGGTTCCTACTTACTACTAAGTGAAGAAGGACATCATGTGTAAGGAAACATGCCCAACATTTCCATGTATACTAGGGATTGAACCATGAATACTCAGTGGCTGAGGCATGTATGTTGTCAACTGAGCCATGGGACAGATGTTTATTTTGTCTAATAGTTAGCCTGCTGATAGTTATTACAAAGACTCCAATAGAAATAAGTCACTTTGACTTTTTTTTTTTTTTGGAGGGGTAATCCTAGGTAATTTAAACAATGATCTTAAGGGCACATGCATGTTATCAGCACATATAAAGTATATTATATGAATTTAACCTAGGATGACTCAGTAAAGTCTGTGACTTACTGTATTTCCAGTGATGTTTTCTGATAACTTAACCTAGGATGTAGGCTTGTATTAAGGTTTTTGTTCATAATTTTTTTTTTTATAGAATGGTTTTGAGAGCACACATGTTATGGGCTCATAAAAAACACATTATGCAGACCTTACCTAAGATAATTCAGTGGTCAAGCCATGTGACTTATTTCCAGTGGGGGGTTAAAATTAACAAAAACTACAGTTACCTTGATTATTATCTATATAAGCAAGAGAGTGAAAATATTTTGTTGCTATTTTGGAAAACTAACTTGTAATTTAGTTTAAGGCACAGCAAATCCTCACTTAACAGACCTCGATTTAACAAATTTTGAAAATGTGGAACAAAATCTAAAGGGTCAGTTAATTCTGAAAAACTGACAAAATCTGTTGGTTAGAGAATTTTCTTGTTTCTGTCCACTGCAGTTTTCATTACCGGCTCCCCTCTGCCTCCTGATAGTCCATTAAATTGAGGGTTTACTCTGTAGGTCAAAGGAAGATGCATAGTTGGCAGGTTAATGTATTGTCTTATCCAGTTTGTGTGTCGCGTTTTCCCCATAAAATACAAAGGCTAAAAATTACAAAGAAATAAAGCCTCCCCCCCCAAAAAAATAAAAAAAAATGGGAAATAGAGAAGGGGATTGAAGAAGTTTTGAGTGAATGCCAGTGATCTTGCTGACATTTTCAAGTTGTTGATCTATCAAAGTCTCTGATGTTTTTCTACTGGCAAAGAGTTCTTCCATGAATAAATTTAGTAAAAGTATTGGTAAGCACTACCTTGAAAATAACCTAACATGAACCAAAATTATATTGTTGGGTAATGTGGTTATATTATATTTTCTAAAAATCACAAAGTGCAGTCTGGATAACTTGCTTATGTTAATGCTTAGAAAAGCCAGCGACTTCACTAGATAAGTTTGAATGTTCAAAATGAAATGAAACACTAACCCTGCATCCAAACAAAAAAATAGGGCTCTTGTAATGTTGATATCTAGCCTAACCCTCAACAATCTAACTTATAACCTACAAAATGTTAGGTGTATGTGAGATTACCTATTTATAGTTATCTGTTTAGAATTTACAGTAGCAGAGCCCTCCTTTTGGTACCCTTGCTTCATCATTTAGTTTGTAAAATATATTTGTATATAAAGGTTCCAGTATTGTAGTTAGAGCATTTTGCTTTCTCTTGGAGCTTGGTTCAGCGATCTACCACTGTCTATGAAGCAAGTTTTTCAGGTGTTCATTTTGCACTTTTTTTTTTTGTGCTGTGATTATGGCCTCGTGTGTTTTTTTGATGATGCCAATAAATCTTTATTTATTTTCTTGTATCTTGGGGAAAATAGAGTTAATATTACAGCCTGTCCTCACTTAACTACGTACTCGTTTACTGACAACTTAGACTTATGACGGGCTCTGTGACCAGTATGCACACCTAAATACGTAATGTATATTAGAGCTGATTTCCTCTGTTTTGTTTATTACAATATACAGTACACTACTATATAAACATTTAAAAATTTCCTAAAAATGTTATAAATGGTGCAAAGGTGACATTAAAGCAATATCAAAGATGGTTGACACTGACCTACTACCATTATAGTATGCTCCTTGTTTAGCAATGAATTCGTTTATTGATGTGGTCTTAGGAATGGAACTCCATCGTTAAGTGAGGAGAGGCTGTATTTCAGTGAAAATGAAAAATGAATAGAATAAGAGTTTTTACAGTAAATGAGGAACTGATCTCAGCAGTAACCTCGTTGAAATATTTTTAGCTGTTATTTTATTCCTGCTTATAATATTGTTTCATAATATCCCATTGCCTTTTTATAGTACAAAATTTATAAAATTCTAATACCACAAGAGAACAGCTGTTATTACAGTACATATGGGAAATACAGTGCCTGCACTCTGAAGGATGGGTGGAGATATTTGCAGTCTGGAGGGGCCTCTGAACTGTAGTATTGGCATGCCTCTGGCAAGACAGTGATGGAGTGAGTGATGGTGAAAGTTTCTTTTTCAGGTTACCCTACCTTAGTGGGAGATGGCCAGTGTGTTAAAAAACAAGATCTCTATAATAATTATTTTTCTTAGGCACAGTTAAGTTTTTCTTGTATAGTTATTTTTTTTTTATTAACACATCGGCCAATTCCCACCAAGGCAAGGTGGCCCGAAAAAGAAAAACTTTCATCATTCACTCCATCACTGTCTTGCCAGAGGGATGCTTTACACTACAGTTATAAAACTGCAACAGTAACACCCTTCCTTCAGAGTGCAGACACTGTGCTTCCCATCTCCAGGACTCAAATCCGGCCTGCCAGTTTCCCTGAATCTCTTCATAAATGTTACTTTGCTCACACTCCAACAGCACGTCAAATATTAAAAACCATTTGTCTCCACTCATAAAGTAATATACAAGTATGTAATTAAATTGAATGTATTTTAGAAATAATGTAAGTTTTCTCTTTTTTGCAGGTTGGTATTTTAAGGTATGATTTTAAACCATAGATGAATGATGGATTTAAAATCTTTACTTCAGAGCCATTTAGAGAAACAAGAGAAGGAAAAGATTGCTCAAGAAGATTTACTGGAAGTATCCAAGCTCACCGAAGGGAGTATTAATGAAGACACTACAGATAAATTATTTGAAAAATATTATTGTGAATGGAAAGGTATAGATAAAGGATTAACAGGTAGTAGTAACAGGTCAAGTTATTCTGTCATCCCAAGATTTTATCACAAACTTCCTCCAGAAGATGATCAGTTGCTACAAAAATTGCGTGAGGAATCTCGAGCAGTATTTTTGCAACGGAGAAGTAGGGAGCTGTTAGATAATGATGAACTGAAGAATTTGTGGATGCTTCTTGATAAACACCAGTCTCTTACAGAACTTGGAGGAGAAGAGCAAATGATCAATTATGAAGATTTTTTAAAGGTGGCTCAGCAAGCGGGCCCAAAATGTAAACAATATTTTCAGCCATCTACTTTTTGCAAATTGCTTCAGAATGATCCTCATGGACGTATCTCTATCATGAATTTTTTTAATTATGTAATGCGGAAGGTGTGGCTACACCAAACCAGAATTGGGCTCTCATTGTATGATGTAACTGGTCAGGGCTATCTTAGAGAGTCTGACTTAGAAAATTACATTCTAGAATTAATACCAACACTACCTCAGTTAGATGGTTTGGAAAAATCATTTCATTCATTTTATGTGTGCACAGCAGTTAGAAAATTCTTTTTTTTCTTGGATCCAATGCGTACTGGACAGATCAAGATACAAGACATTTTGGCTTGCAGCTTTCTTGATGACCTGTTGGAGTTACGTGATGAGGAATTACCCAAAGATCAACAGCAAAACAATTGGTTTTCAGCCCCATCTGCTCTTAGAGTATATGGTGTGTACTTAAATCTTGATAAGGATCATAATGGGATGTTGTCTAAGGGAGAATTGTCTCGTTATGGAATGGGCACATTAACTCCTGTGTTTATAGATCGTGTTTTCCAAGAATGCTTAACATACGATGGAGAGATGGATTACAAAACTTATCTTGACTTTGTTTTGGCCTTAGAAAATCAAAAGGAACCTCAAGCTTTGCATTATTTTTTCAGAATACTTGATATCGATAATCGAGGATATTTAAATGTTTTTACACTAAATTACTTCTTTCGATCCATGCAAGAGCAGATGCGTCAACATAATCAAGACCCTGTAAACTTCGAAGATGTGAAGGATGAAATTTTTGACATGGTGAAGCCAGCTGATCCCTGTAAAATCACACTGCAAGATCTCATAAACTGTGGTCAGGGTGATGTGGTTAGCAGTATCCTCATTGATCTTAATGGATTTTGGACATATGAGAATCGAGAAGTTCTTGTAGCTGACAGTAATGAAGAGCCAGCTCAAGTTTGAATAATGTAATTAAGGTAATAGACACAATTGGTTTTTTTCCATTATTAATCATAACAAAATAAATTTTTTGTCTTGTATTATACATATTTGCAAACTAAAGTGCATATTGTGTAGTTAAATTGAGAATCCTTTAGGAATTTATTATGGTGTGGATAATATGAACATTTAGCTGTTTTAGGTACAAATTTATTTTGTAATAAAGCTCAGGTGTGGAGGTACAGTGGTACCCCGAGTTTCGGCCATAATTTGTTCCAGAAGGCTGTTCGAGTGCCGTTACCGAACGAATTTCTTCCCTTAAGGAATAATGTAAATTAGATTAGTCTGTTTCATACCCCCAAAAATACACTTACAAAAGCACTTGCAATAATGCACTTGCATGATTGTTTGAGTTGGGAGCTGTACGAAGCTCTGGGTACCACTGTACCGGAATCTAGACTGTTTTAAGAAAAGTGAGTTTATTGTCTACCTATTACTATCATTCATAAAAACTGGGTAATTTTTAAGGAATGTGTTTTTTAGTTGTGTAACATAAAATTAATCTTCATGTAATATAGTATAGCAATGAATGCCTTGTATAAATAACATAACGAAATTAGCATTTCCTATTTAATTATTTAGCCATGTGTTAGGTGAGCTCACAAGATTTTGAGATTGGTGCACCATATCTACTTCGGTAGCATACTTTACCAGTGAAGTATAATTTTCCTGTCTGTCACTTTAATATCGTATATATGTGATTGTATTCATTACAATCATAACTCGTTAATACTGTGCTCGCTTTAAATTAAAGCCCTTTGCTGATATGGGGTTTTTCATTTATTTATTTATTTTTTAACATGTTGGCTGTTTCTCACCAAGGCAAGGTGACCCAAAAGAAAGAAAAACCCAAAAAAGAAAGAAAAAACTTTCATTATCAGTCAACACTTTCACCATCATTCGTACATAATCACGACAGTTTAGATAGTCACTCCAGACTGCCAATATCCCAAACCCCTCCTTTAAAGTGCAGGCATTGTACTTTCCATTTCCAGGACACAAGTCTGGCTAACTGGTTTCCCTGAATCCCTTCACAAAATATTACCCTACTCACACTCCAGCAGCTCGTCAGGTCCCAAAAAGCATTCGTCTCCATTCACTCCTATCTAACACGCTCATGCATGCTTTCTGGAAATCCAAGCCCCTCCACAAAACCCCCTTTACCCCCTCCCTCCAACCTCTTCGAGGACAACCCCTACCCCGCCTTCCTCTACAGATTTATACATTCTCCAAGTCATTCTACTTTGTTCCATTCTCTCTAAATGACCAAACCACCTCAACAATCCCTCTTCAGCCCTCTGACTAATACTTTTAGTAACTCCACACCTCCTAATTTCCACACTAGGAATTCTCTACATAATATTTACACCACACATTGCCCTTAGACAGGACATCTCCACTGCCTCCAGCTGCCTCCTCACTGCAGCATTTACAGCCCAAGCTTGACACCCATACAAGAGTATTGGTACCACTATACTTTTGTACATTCCCTTTTTTCCTTCATCAATTCTATGGTTAACTTCATCCTTCATAAACCTAACCTGAGCCTCACTATCCTCATTAAAACTCTTTACAGCATTTAGTAACTTACTACCTATTCCATACACTTGCAACTTCTGCCACATTGCTTCCCTTTCCACTCAATTTGCATCATTTTTTTAGGCTTAGTGCTATTGCATACTTAATAAGAGATAGTGTTTTTAGGCTTTTATATTCACTTGCAAGAGAGAAAAAAAATGGGCTCTCATTCGCTTGGAGGCGATATACACTTTACAGTGGCGGTTTGGTGCCTAATTCTCTGTATGAATGAGATATATCTGTATTCATATTTACTATGAACATCATCAGCAGCTTTCTTAAGATTCATGCTTTCTCTGCTTTGAAAAAGTGTATTATTATTACTGTTATTAAATGAGGAAATGCTAAATCTGTAAAGCTCAGTGTCTAGGGAATGGGATGCACTCAGGTATGATCCAAGGAAGAAGGAGGATAACTGAAAAATCACACAAATTTAGTTGTGATGTCTGTCATTTTTATAACTTATTACGTATTTTAGTATCCTAACTCTTAAAAAATCAAAGTCCATTTTAAGATGGGATTTTTACCACATGTTATTTGAGAAAGGATACTTGTGAACCATTTAGGCATGTATTTTAAGCCTTTGGGGAGCATTGTACTGTACAATAACTGCTATACTTCAAATTTTGCTGTATTATGTGATGTATGAATTTTGATATACATGCAGTTGAGCATAGTTAGTCAGGACTCATATTTTGGTAGCCTAGATTGTTTGGTTTGGTACTCAAAACAATTATTTCAATAACTTTTTATAATCTGTAAATTTTGTCGTAGTCCAGCGTTGTCTTTGCTAAAACTTTGGTACCAGAGCACTCTGCCAGAGCTACAGATTCAGTTGTGACTTAAGGGATTGCATCCTTGAAGTTATCAACAGCTAGATGCAGTATTGGCCATGTTTTTGAAAGAGCAAGTACTGTATCACCTTCTGCCTAGTGGAATTTGTTTGCATTTCACCTCTTTAACCCGTAAACGGTCCAAACATATATATACGTTTTTTCAATATTTGAAAGTACAGTGGTCCCTCGTTTTTCGTAGTTAATCCGTTCCTGGAGTTGCTACTATTATCGAAATCTATGATTTTCGAATAAATTTTCCCCATAAGAAATAATGTGAATACAATTAATCTGTTCCTGACACCCAGAAGTATTAAAACAAAAAAAATTTTTACATGAAATATAGATGTAGTACATAAACAATACAATGGGAAATGATGAATGAAACATTAACAGCATAACACTTACCTTTATTGGAGATTCTTCTTAGTGTATGGGAGACTGGAGGAGGAGAGAGATTGGATTGTTTACAGTTTGGAAGGGGAATCCCCTTCCAGCAATACCTCAGGTACCAATTGCTCTTCTGGGGTTGCTTCTCTTCTCTGTTTCTTAATGCCACTAGGACCAGCTTGAGAGTCGCTGGAGTCCTGTCTTGCAAAATAACTGTGGAGAGACCTCTGTTTCTAGCGTCTCTTTAACACTTCCCTAAAATGGCCCAAGACTTTGTCACTGTACATGTTGCCAATATAACTTGCAACAACCTTGTCAGGGTGATGTTTCTCCATAAATCTTTCCATCTTACCCCACATAGCAAAAATCTCTTTAATTTCTGAAGAAGGCACCTTCTTCCATCTCTCTTCCTCCTCCTCTGCAGCAAGATTCTGAGCTGCGATCTGTTGCTGTTCCTGCTGAAGCTCTTGCAGCTCCTCAGTGGTGAGCTCTTCGTTGTGGTGTTCCACCAACTCTTCCACATCCTCCAAACTCACATCCAACCCCATGGAACTCCCCAGTACTACAATTGATTTAACAACAGACATAGGCCCATCAGGGTCAGTCCCAAACCCTTCAAAATCCCTCTTGTCGACACAATCTGGCCACAATTTTCTCCAAGCAGAGTTCAAAGTCCTGGTAGTCACTCCCTCCCAAGCCATACCTATAAGGGTTATGCAATGGAGGATGCTGAAGTGTTCTCTCCAAAATTCCCTTAGGGTCAAGTGAGTGTCTGTGGTCACAGTCAAGCACCTGTGAAACATTGCTTTGGTGTAGAGTTTTTTAAAGTTTGCAATGACCTGCTGGTCTATGGGCTGGAGGAGAGGAGTGGTATTCGGAGGCAAGAACTTTACTGTGATGAACCCAAACTCCTCGAAAATTAGGTCATCCAAGTTTGGAGGATGAGCAGGTGCATTGTCCATTACTAGCAGGCACTTGAGATCCAATTTCTTTTCCAGGAGGTAATTCTTCACACTAGGGCCAAACACTTCATTGAACCACTCGACGAAAATTTCCCTCGTGACCCATGCCTTACTATTAGATTTCCAAAACACACACAATTTACTCTTCATAACATTGTTTTTCCTGAACACTCTGGGATTTTCAGAATGGTACACTAGTAATGGCTTCACTTTGAAATCCCCACTAGCATTAGCACAGAACATGAGCGTCAGCCTGTCTTTCATAGGCTTGTGTCCTGGCATTGCCTTTTCCTCCTGTGTAATGAAGGTCCTCTTTGGCATTTTCTTCCAAAAGTGGCCTGTTTCGTCACAATTGAACACTTGTTCAAGTTTCAGTCCTTCAGTCTCTATGTACTCCTTGAATTCATGCACATATTTTTCAGCCGCCTTATGGTCCGAACTGGCAGCCTCACCATGCCTTACCACACTGTGTATGCCAGTACGGTTCTTAAATCTCTCAAACCAACCTTTGCTGGCCTTAAATTCACACACATCACCACTATTTGCAGGCAATTTCTTTACCAGATCGTTGTGCAACTGCCTAGCCTTTTCACAAATAATCGAAGTCATAAGAGTATCTCCTGCTAATTGTTTCTCGTTTATCCACACAAATAATAACTTCTCAACATCTTCGAGTACTGGTGATCTCATTTTTGTCAGCATAGTTACCCCCTTTGCAACAACAGCGTCCTTGATTTCCTTTTTCTTGGCCACTATGGAACATATGGTTGTGTAGGGTTTCTTATTCATCCTGGCCAGTTCGGCCGCACTTGTGCCACTTTCATATTGTTCAATGATGTTTTTCTTAAATTCAATCGTATTTCTCACCTTTTTTACCACAGGCTTGGCACTAGGAGCTTTCTTTGGAGCCATGGTAGCTTATTTAGTACTTGCAAGCACTAAAATGAGTGGAATATTATGAAATATTTCGTAGGAGCACGTGAGGGGACCTTCGCTCACTGGTAAACAATGCCAGACTGGCTGGATAGGGAGGCCACCCCGGCTCACACCGTGTGTATGCGTCCCGGACGAACTACTATTCACGAGTCAACCTATGATTAGTGAGCCCATGTTTATACGAAAATATCACTATGATTTCCGAAATCTATGATTCCCGAGAACTACGAAAAACGAGGGACCACTGTATGTAAAAAAAGTAGATCTTCTTTTTGTTTT